CTCGCCTCGGCTGGCCCTGGATCCCGGAGGCTGCGAGCGCGGCCATCCGTCACCCGGCTTGCAGGCCAAATTCCCATCATCTTTGTTGTTTTCTTATGTAACTTTCTCAAATTATTCCGAATCTCATTCTGTTTGTGTTTTTTTTTTTTTTTTAATTTTTCGACTTGGTGATTTAGGGTGTGAAGCTTTATACTGGAAAGCAAAGCTGCCTTACGCTCCCACACCGGCATTCGGCGTGTGGCAGAGGCTCAGCTTGTGCAGGTGTGAAGGCATCGTGCTTAGCCGTCCTAGTCCAGACGTGGAGAATTGCTGGTGGTTCTTTATTCTGGTGGTTCTTTATTATATTTATACTCTCTTACAATTAACGAGATGATAGTCGCTACAACTTGGCCTTCTGCTGTCTTGCCAAGCAAGTACGGATACATGTAACTTAGAAAGAAGCTGAGAGAACGAGTGGAATTTTACCGGTTTCGCTGTTACCTGGTATTGTAAGACTGCAGAATAAAGGCCTGCAAGTAACTTGTGCAGGGTGGCGTGAAATACTGAGAGTCCTGGAAAAACCTTGCTTGTGAAAGAGGCCTTACATGACTGCAATTACAAAAAGCTGTGTTCAGTCGGTTGCTTAGACAAACCGAGGGTAACCAATGCTTCAGGAAATGCATTGTTGCAGAGAGGTTGAAATAAACAATTTAAATATGTGTGGTTGGAAGTAATGGAAAAATAGGAACAGAAGTTCCAGAGCCTTATAAAGTTTTGTTGCTGGTGAGCAATGCTTGCAGCTTATTTGGATGCCGTCTAAATGACGACTGAGCAGGCTGCATGTTGCACTTGTGCAGATAACTTAATCTTGAATGTTTCGATGTTTACTGGAAGACTCGGGGAGCACTGGTATTTTACCACGTGGCATTTTACTTCTGTATTTATTGAGGGGCCAGAAAAAGTACAGATTGCGCAAATACTGGATGGAAAAGCATGAATAGCTGAGGAAGCTGAGGGATCTCTTTGTTGCTGTGAAGTGACTGTCATTTTATATCATCCTATCCTGAGGCAGTCTTATCAAGCATGCGAGGAGATAGAATAACGCAATAAAACTGCTTTTTCTTACTAAGGGGCAGCTAAGACACTTGTTCTGAATAGAGACAAAGCAGCTTGCTACCTGAATGAGGCAGTGCCGGTCTAATGAATGTTTTATTACTTGATGAGAGTGAAAGTGGGTAGTTTGAGTTGTGCTGTTGGAGTAAGGGTAGTATTCCAGACTGCTGCTGCTGCTTTACTCTGTACCAAGTATTTACTCTGCTCCTTAGGTTATCTGTGTTTTAAGATACATGCAATTACTTCACTGAAGTGGTGTTGAAGCCTAATTACGTGTTTTGTACAGCAGCCCGTGATCCTCTGGTGAATGGGTGGGTGACTGTTCCCCTTCCTGTAGTGTGAGGAGATAATGTTCCGTGTAATTATTTTGTCTGACTTTTGGTGGTACAACCAGTTGCTGTGCCACTGCTCTCAAGTATTCCAGATACATTTATTAATTCTTAGGTTGACTAGTTTATAAAATACATCAACATAACTATTTTAAATTTGTAAGCACCATCCTCAGTGTTCCAGTTAGAAACTTCACTCTAGAATCAGTAACTTTGTTAAAAGTTTAACGTGTGGGGGCTTTTTCTATAACATTGCTTTTTTTAATGGAATGTAAAAATTTTAAAAAAAATCTCTGGAGTCTGCCTTATTACAATATGTAGTAGTTTTTAATCTTTAGTTAAAAATAGTGTGGATGAAGATACATAAATTATGAAACTTGATTTTGAGTGTCAAAAGCCGTCTCATTTGTTTCGTATGAAAGAACACATTTTCTAAACCCATGTACAACTGGTCTATTTCTGAGCCTCTAATAGTACAGCTCCTGACTGGATCCTTGTGGGAGGGAACTATTTATAGATGTCCATTCATTAAGTTTGTCATGCAAGAATGCTTTTGATGTGTTCCCTTGAAGCAATGGTTTTATAAGTGAAAGAGATGACATATGGTAGATTTATGATGAAATATTTGACTCTCCAGAACTGATTTGATTCCTTGCAAAGTTTAACACACATTTTCTGTGAGGAGGTAACCTGATTAAATTTCAGCTATGACTGATTTTCACGTTCTCTACAAAGTTTATGTTGAGTTGCCTACCTTAATTTCTGACTGGTTTTTTTGTTTGTTTAATAGCAAATTTCTTATTTATGCCTGCCTGCTGCTTTTTTCTGTGTTGCTCTCTCTACGTCTGGATGACAAAATTCAATGGAGTTACTGGGCTGTATTCGCTCCAATATGGCTCTGGAAGTTAATGGTGATTGTTGGTGCCTCAGTGGGAACAGGAGTATGGGCCCGAAACCCACAGTATCGGTGAGTCGAGGATATTTATTTTGCAAAACAGAGGGAACATAATGCTTTTTCTGTACTGAATCAAACTAATAAATATGCATCTTCATATGCACTAGGAATATACTATATTTAATTGGATTATTTTCTAAATCAGTTTTCTGAAATGTACAGATCAGCCTGAAGAATGCTGATTTTTTTTTCCCTTCCCTCCTTCGTGTGTACATAACCTCAGTGAACATATGGATGAATAGTCAGTGATTCTTGAATATGTTAACATAGAGAATTTTTGCAGACTTTAGTTGCAGTTTTATAAGAAATGTTCAAGTAGTTTAATACACAAATACAGGCAAATGCATTACATTTGCAAAGGAAGATGTTTGTGGGAACAAATTCTGTAAATTCCTTTTCATTTTTGTCAGTTGTTTAACATTGGTATTTTAATTGTCAGTCCAGGGTAAAATAACTTTCAGACCTTTAAATATGTCAGTGTTTGCTTTTTTTGGTAATCCAAGTAGGATGTGAATTTGAACATGCTATGGGAAAAGAAAAACTACCTGAAAAGAAGTGCAATAAATTCAATCCTCTTTTATATCTATGATGAATACTAAATGAAAAATTTTGTGCACAGGTCTTGTTCTGATACACTATATTGTGTGGCTCAGGTCTTGTTTGCCCCTTCTAGTAATGGTTCTACTTTTGTAAGAAAAAAGTGTGGTTTCTCTGTGTATGCTGTTATTTTACAGGCATCTTATTTTTTAGTAATAAGGAGTATTCTGTTGCAACATGCTGATTTTGGTGAACAAAGAAATTCTGGGGAAAGGTGTTGATTCAGTGAAAGCTGGTGCAGGAACCAAACAGATGATTTTAGACTTGGCTTATTTCCTAACAACCTGCATGATATCTGAGCGTTTACGTAGTAGCGAAGAAGTCCTGTTTTATCTGCACAGTGATGGAATCCTTAGAAAATTTTCAAGTTGTAAAAATCCCAGTGCCCCTTTGAGTAAAATACTTTAAATGTGCAGCTTTATGGGCAAGAAATCCGGTTTCATCGTCAGGAGTGTAGTTTAATAGTGGCTATTTAGGCATCGTGTACATTTGTTAAAAGCACGTGTTAATATCTGAAACTTAACAGTTGTAAGCAAAGTGTCTGGGGATGTTTGCAGGATAGCGTGCTTTCTTAGTGACCAGTGAACTGAATGCTTCTTTATCCTCTCTTTAGAGCAGAAGGAGAAACCTGTGTGGAGTTCAAAGCGATGTTGATTGCAGTAGGCATCCACCTGCTACTGCTGATGTTTGAAGTTCTGGTGTGTGACAGGATCGAAAGAGGAACCCATTTCTGGCTTCTGGTCTTCATGCCCTTGTTCTTTGTATCTCCAGTGTCAGTTGCAGCTTGTGTGTGGGGATTCCGACACGACAGGTCACTGGAGGTAACACTTCATTTGTTATGTGTGTAAAACGTGGGGCAATGCCAGACTCTGTATCAATTTGGTTACAGTTCATCTCTCAGTAAAGCATCATAGGGATGACTGCATCAGTTGAATTAATTGTTTGCACTGACCTGCTAGAGTGAAAAATCAGGATTGGGAATAATATAATTTTTTCTAATCTCTTCTACTTTTTTCAACTACCAAATTGCAGCATGGTTTAAAACCTGCCTTTTTATTATTGTGTGTTAAAAGAACTCACCACAAACTCTGCAATATGGACTAATACTAGACACTAATATGGAAAATATTGAAGAAAATTCCACTAATAGTAAGCACTGTCCCTCAGCAGAATGGAACTTCCAGAGCCCTAGATAATCAGCGTTGAAAATTTCTTACTATCCCAATCTGTGTGCTTAATCTTTAAACTGGGAATGCGGATGGTAGGCATAAAACAGTAGGTTTTTATTTTCTGCCTCTATCTTCTTTCCTCTCTAACTCACTTCTTTTGGTTTTGGAAGGGTTCTAAAGATCTTCTTGCAGTTGTGGCATTTTTGCAATACATTTAGAATTCTTATTCAATTGACTTTTTTTTGAAAGGAATTTTTTTTTTTTTGCTATATCCTCAAACTACCCCAATGACAACTAAAACTCTGATTTTTAGATGAGGTTCAGCTTTTAATTTCAAGGGAATAGTTCTCTAACATTAGCATAAGCCAAGTTTGTAACTAGAGAGAGAAACATTTTTGGTAAGTGATTGTTAGGATGGCTGGTAAACCAATACCTTAAATTATTGATTTTAAAATATTGTAAGTAGAATTTCATTTTGCAGAGTTCTAGTCACTGTTAACCATTCCTAAAAGTAACATTTGTGTGGAAGTACTTGCCTTCTACTGGATGATGCTCGATTACCTGTAGATTTACAGATGACTGCACAGCTGCTAAGTACTGGCAGAAAAAAATGGAAACCATTCACCCCTAAAAGGCAACAGCTGTCTCAAAGAAAATAAGTTATGCAGTTGAACTGTCAACTCTTTTTTTTTTTTCTTCTTTTGTCATCTTCACTTAGTGCTGTTTTACTTTGTTTTTACTCTGGGAAGATTCCATTATTTCCCTTTCATTTGCTAGAAACATGAGGGGCCTGTTTTTAATCCAGGATATTAATTTTTGGCATGAGTAGTCAAAGTAGCTGTTAATCTATTATTACTTTCATAATTATTTAATCTGAAAATACATTGTCTGCTTGTTCCTATTCTGAAACCGATTAGGTGATTGGTAAGTACATAGTGGGGTTTTGTCTATATATCATGGTGGGCTCCGAAAAAGCTTTGTTCTATGTGTTACACTATTTTTACAGTCAATAAAGCACCATTTATTTAAGGTATATTGCATTCATTAAATTGTGAGCCTAGTCACTCCAAATATACGTGCACTTGCCATGTATAGCTCAAATGCAACTTGATTCTCAAAATTATTTATAGCAATTGATCGTCTGATTTTGTTTTTTTCCCCTCTCTGTTTTGCTCTTGCAGTTTTCAGGTTGCTTGGTCTTATGCTTGAGCATGGGTTTTTTGGTGGTTTATTCTTTGAGAAAGCCAGCGGTACAAAATTATTTTAAATTTAGTTTTCTAGTCTGTTTAAAGTAACCTGTACTTCCAATAGTGAAGACTTAAGTGCAGTCCCTGAAGTAGGCGAGTGCCTGCTGCCTGTTGGATTTTTGACTCCCTGTACTGTGAATTTCAAAGGCATTTATCCAAGAGATCATAGTACACAATCATGGATGTTAGTGAAAAGTAGCATGTAGTGTCTGCCTTCTGAGAAATAGTACATTTCAAAGATCCCTTAAGTTCCTACATGTGTTTTTTTAAAATGGAAAATGTTTCATACACTCTTACAGCTCTTAACACTCAAGAGCTTCAGTTAGTCTTTTCAAATAGTAATTCTCCGTTTGATCTTTGAAATTCCTACTCACGTAGGGCTGCCCGCAAACTTCAGAAACAGAATCATGCCAAGTCTGATGGCATTTCATTGTTTCACTTTGTTCAAGCTAGACACAAACTTGTTTTTTTTTTTTTTAAAGTATGATTTAGGGTTAGTTCTCATAGTGGCAAGCGGGATATGTGAAAAGCTTTCATTAACATTTCTAATTAGGAGTATTGCTTTTCTGTATTGCCTCAAAACCCAAGCATCTTCAGTGTCCTTTAAAATATCTCTCAATTACATAGTAAATGATTGAATTTGGATGTCATCTTCCACTATTCTATGTATTTCTTCCCCCTCCCTTCCCAGATAGAGCTGGGACTTCTAAACTGGACCGTTGGTAGTTAAACCCATGTAACTTTCATCTTTACGTTACTGCAACTACTAAACAATATCTTTAAAGATAAATTTTGTCACTTTAAATTGAAGGACTTTTTACTACTTGTTAATTTAATTCCAGCAGTATTTCTTATCTGAAGAAAACAGTTGAAGTTGTTTTCTGATGCTTTGCTTTTTCGGCCTGATTAGTTTGGCTTTTCTTATTTCTCTAATCACTCTAAGTGTTGCAGGTAGTGCTTTTATTTCCTTTTTTTAAATACCAGGAAGGTCTTTCCTCAAGAGACAGCCCCGTGTACAGTTGCTCTGTTGGGATCACAGCCTCCCAAATTTAGGGATGCTTAGTAATGTCTAATGTAAATGCAAATGATGTTCTATATCGCAGTGGTAAGCATGGAGTCAGAAAAGTCCTTTGACAGATTCTTTGGCTATCTCGGAAATAGCTTTATCATGCTAAGAGTTAACTAACATATTCTCTTTTTCTAGCTGGAAATCTTGTGTTCAGTCAATATTCTACAGTTCATATTTATTGCACTCAGACTAGACGAGATCATCAGATGGCCATGGCTTGTATGTAACGAGTGTTTTCTTCTTATCCTTGTTTAAATGCTGTATTTCATAAAGATATTTACTATAGGGAATGGTTAATCTATGATCAGAGTCCATGATCACATTTTTGCCTGCTTAACAATCCTTCACTGAAGGTTTGGCATTTCATTCAGTGGTCATGGGAAGCAGAGGCTGTTCTTTGGGTGTTTCGTCCTTTGGGGAGAGGGACGTGCCATCAGCTGCAATTAATCTCTGATCAGTTGTTGAAAGAGAGATCCTAACCAAAAGTTTCCAGTGGGAACACTAAACTAGCCATGAAAGTGATTGGTAAGTTAGGTAATGTGTTGGTAAATGTGGTGTGGTAAATAACTAGTTTTATTTGTTGTGTTGCCATGCATGTAAAGTCCATTTATTGTGCAAGTGGTCACTGTCAAAACTGCTGAGATCTCCCGTCTCAAGTGCCAAAAGCGCTCCTTCTGTGGATGGGCTTTTGTAAGCTACAATAAAACTGATAATCTGGCATGATTATGCCTGTCCTATTTTCAAAAAAAACTAGGAAAAGGATCTAATTTAGAAACTGTTTCAAGTAAGGTGTCCGGTGTAGAAAATAGTTGCTAAAATCAATTTCAAGTACTAAAATCACAGAAGTCTTATTAAAGTTGAACTGCATTGACTTTTTAAATTGCTTCAGCTTGATGGGGTTTACGGAGCTAACTGAGGAACCCCAAAGAGCTGATATGGCTCATAACAGCACATGTGATTTGTGAAGCTTTTCTGTTAGAGATTATGTTAGTCAAAGAGCATTGGACTTCTTGATTAGACTTAATATGTAGACTTGCTTTATTTAAAAAACCCACATCTGAAGCAAATCAAACTGATAAAAATGTATCACTGTTGGGATGGGGGGGGAAAACCAGTTAATTTCTTTTTCTTTCAGGTTGTTTGTGTTCCACTCTGGATCTTGATGTCCTTTCTGTGCCTAGTAGTGCTCTATTACATTGTCTGGTCTGTTCTCTTCTTGCGCTCTATGGATGTGATTGCTGAGCAGAGGAGGACGCACATAACAATGGCTGTCAGCTGGATGACAATTGTAGTTCCACTGCTCACATTTGAGGTAGGAAAAAGCATAACGAGTTTTATGTATCTTGTTCTTTTTTCAGTGAGTGATGCATGTTGCTGTGTCTCTTTTGAACTTACTGAAACAAGAATACTGCTTTTTGTTTTGGAAAAAGTATTAACAGCAAATATGAAAGAAAACAAAGAATTCTGTTTCTTTGAAGTTTTTTTTTTGAGTAAAATGTGCATCACATTGGAACTGTAACTACATGTTTCTGTGGAGGCCAGTTTTCACAGATGTGTGAAGTTAAAGATCTGAGATCAGCATATGTTTTAAGAAGCTTGAAAGTGGGTGTTGCAATTAAACTGACATTGTATAATTTTTTTTGCCATTTAGATCTTACTAGTACACAGACTGGATGGGCATAATTCTTTTTCTTTTATACCCATCTTTGTTCCTCTCTGGCTTTCGCTGATAACTTTAATGGCAACAACATTTGGACAAAAAGGAGGAAATCACTGTAAGTATTTAAAAATCATGGAAACAGCTTGAAACTCAAGGCTTAAATGTATTTCATTAAGATTTGTATTTTCAAAAAGGGCGCTTTTGTGTATATTCTCTCATGAAAGAATTCAGATGTCTTACTATTGTTTTCAGGTGATTTTAGTCAGTTTTCAGTGTTTATCATGTCTCCTACTTCTTTACTTATTCCTATAAGAGCATGACTTCTGTTTGGGCTCAACTTGAAATCCCAATGGGATTTTAATTGTAACTTAGCCTTTTACCCTTCCTTATTTCCCTGGGTTTCATTCTCATGGGACGTGACTGGGTCTTTCTACTCTGGGGTCTGAAAATAGTGTAGCACCTACCATTTTTAATTAGCATTTGTCCTAGTAGCCTGAATTAGTATTCTCTTTCCTCTTTGGTCGGATAGTGCCCTGTGCTGCTTAGTTGTAACCTCAGTTGCCTGAGTGGCCAGTGTAGATTTACTAGGCTTTTATCCATGCCCCCCCTCCGCCTCAATTAGCACTTCCAAAAGGAGTGTTTGCACTTTCAGCCATCTAATGTTACTGAACCAGTGCAGATGAGTAGCTCTACCCATCCACATTGCAGTTCATGTTCCTTATTGACAAGGCAATAAAATTTGTTAGGATTTTCAGAGTTGAAAGGAACCAGCTGTGATGTTCGTTACATAAACTCACTTCAGGTTTGGTACGATTGTGGAGTATATCGAGAATTTATTTCTTTGGTCATGACTAAGCTTATTTCCATACATTTAGTTTACTTTTGTTACTGCATGGAAAATTGTTACTGGTGATTTTTTTTTTAAATGCACGCCCTTGATAATTGATGGCCAAATTAGTCTTTTTGGAAAGCCATGCGTCCATTTTGTCTTCTGTAGGGTTAGTAAATGCTTCTGTAAACTTTTAAAAAAGACTATTCATCTGAAGTGAGCCTCAGAAGACTTGCATGAAAATCCACCTCTGAAGTCCTAAGCAAAATACACCAGTTGGCCATGAAGTATAATCTCTGCAAAAAGATGGGCTGTATGGGATCTTCCCTGGCAAATGCTTAATACCTTGCTTTCATTCAGTGTGAAAGATCTGACGTGGGCAGGCTGTTCCTTTTAACACTGAGCTTTACTATTGGTTAATAGAGGAATGCCATCTGCTGAATTACAAGTGCTGCTTACTTAAATGCTCTCCTTCCAAGTCTTTGCATATAGCAAAATACATGACAAACGCAGAATGGATACTGTTTTCTAATCTAGCACAGGTAATCCCAAGGATGAGATGCTCCTGGCATCACATCATATTGGGCTAACAACAAAAGTATTTGGGGGATACTGAATATGTATCTTTACTAATCTGTGTCTGCCTGTGCCATCACATTCCCTATGGTACTGTAACCTATATGTATCAAACAAAAATTGGCATGAATGTCTTCCCATGTGGCACTGATTGCTTTGAGATGCAAAGTCTTTTGTGCTCTTTCTCTGTGTCCTGATGTGACCTGACACTGCTTAACATGTGAAATGAAACGGGTTCTTGCTGTAGTAGTGTAGCTGTAATTTATACACATGGATAGACACACACAGACATGCATGTACAGACGTGCAGAGGCATGCAAATGCATGTGTATATTCTATATGTATGCCTGTGTGTATAATCTGAACTGTAATGTTATTATATGATAGGTGTAAGTAACACATTGAGAAACAGCACTAACAAATTTTATATTGTTCATATGCAAGCAATCAGGAGAACTTAAATGCGATTGCGTAATCTGCTTAATTAAATTTTCATTCTGTTCTGCAATAATGTGAAATGACTTTTCTTTTAGGGTGGTTTGGAATTCGCAAAGACTTTTGCCAGTTCCTGCTTGAAATTTTCCCATTCTTACGAGAATATGGAAATATTTCTTATGATCTTCATCATGAAGATAATGAGGAAACAGAAGAAACGCCACTGCCCGAACCACCAAAAATTGCACCAATGTTTCGAAAAAAGACTGGAGTGGTCATTACACAGAGTCCTGGAAAATACGTGATTCCACCTCCCAAGTTAAACATTGATATGCCAGATTAAGATGACAGTAGCATATTACACTGGAACTGGGAATCAGCAGACAAATGTATTTCATCTCATGCCTTGTCCCAATTACTTTAAAATAGGTATTGCTGAATCAGTGGCTTGGATTACACAAATGGGAGATCTTGAAGATAATCTGAGAGCTTTTCCAGAGATACGTGGTGGTCTAATTTGGAAACCTTCCTAATGGGTTGGTTGCACGCTTGCCTGTATAGTATTTATATGAACATTTTAGCAGTGTAATATATTGTTTAAAAGTCTTGTGTACAGTGTAAGTATTATCTAAAAGTATTTTTTTAAAAACCCTGTATGAAATGCCTATGCTATTCCAGGTGTCTCTTAGCTCCTAAATATACACTTGATTCCCATGTCTGTTTTAAATGCTTTGGGGATGTCTTAGCATCGTACCTCTTTACTTCTCTTTCTGTTCAGCCACAATCATTGTCATAACCACAGAGGCACAGGAGTGTTGCACTTCTCAGGCAAGACTGGAAAGCTTTTCTTGGGAGAAGTAGAATGTATAGCAACTTACATCATGTTTTTGAGTTAGCTATATAAGTTTTATTGAAGTAGTTCAACTCTTGCACTGGCTTGGGAGTTAAGTGTTGCTTTTGTTGCTTTCCCAGTTTCATGTTTTAATTCTTGAGCAGCATGTACACCATTCTTCCATTAGACTGGCTGTTTAATAAGCTGCTCCCTCTTCCATTGTGTGTGCAGTCTATGCCAGAAACATTGGTAGTAGGTTTTACAGCTGCTAGAAATATCACAGCTTGGTCTTCACTACCAACTTTGTGTTGGTGTAAATGATTAAACTTCTCAAGATGGGAACTCATTGATGTTGGTATAGCATGTTCTGGTTTGAAGAAAGACCTCCTTTGACAGACTGTCTTGGACTTCCAGGCGCTTTTAAGAAATTTAGTCTTTGAAACCTGTCCTCCAGTAGCTTGCAACAACAGATGTTGGATACTCCCACATCATTGCAGCTGCTCTTTGTGTTTAAGTGAACGCACAGTTTAGGTAGCTTAAATATGACGGGTATTTCCTTAGTGTTAGCATGGCAATGAGATAAGA